TTTACTCTCATAGATTTTGTTACCATTGCCATGCATTATACGACTGATAGACTGCAACGGTTGGACTTAAAAATCATAATTTGTGTTCTACTGAAGAAACAAAGTCACCTAGATCTTGGATTCCCTGGGGGTAAGCAGATAAACATCAAATTTAAATTTTTGGATGAACTATCCATCCCTTTAATATATTAAAGAAATGTATTGACAGCACTATAGGTTTTAAACAATAAGAAAAAACCTGCATGTTTTTGTTCACCAAGGCACCATAAATGACCAAAAATACAGAAACAAACCGTAACATTGTGAACTATTGTAAATTCACTTTATTAACTGATTTTCAACAGCCAGTTACTCCAGTCTTCAGTGTCACATGATCCAACAGAAATCATTCTAATATGCTGATTTGGCGCTCAAGACATTTCTTTTTATCACAGTGCAAAACAGTTGTGCTGCTTAATATTTTTGTTGAAACCATAAAGCTTTTTTTTTTTTGTCAGGATCCTTTGATGAATAAAATAGAATAGAATAGAATTTATTTATGAACTTTATTTAAAAAAAAAACACCGTAAATATCTTTACTGTCACTTTTGATCGAATCCCTTTAATAAATTAAAGAAATGTATTGACAGCACTATAGGTTTTAAACAATAAGAAAAAACCTGCATGTTTTTGTTCACCAAGGCACCATAAATGACCAAAAATACAGAAACAAACAGTAACATTGTGAACTATTGTAAATTCACTTTATTAACTGATTTTCAACAGCCAGTTACTCCAGTCTTCAGTGTCACATGATCCAACAGAAATCATTCTAATATGCTGATTTGGCGCTCAAGACATTTCTTTTTATCACAGTGCAAAACAGTTGTGCTGCTTAATATTTTTGTTGAAACCATAAAGCTTTTTTTTTTTTGTCAGGATCCTTTGATGAATAAAATAGAATAGAATAGAATTTATTTATGAACTTTATTTAAAAAAAAAACACCGTAAATATCTTTACTGTCACTTTTGATCGATTTAATCCTTGCTGTATTAAAGGAACACTCCACTTTTTTTGAAAATAGGCTCATTTTCCAACTCCCCTAGAGTTAAACAGTTGAGTTTTACAGTTTTCGAATCCATTCAGCCGATCTCCGGGTCTGGCGGTAACACTTTTAGCTGTAGCTTAGCATAGATCATTGAATCTTATTAGACCGTTAGCATCTCGCTCAAAAATGACCAAAGAGTTTAAAAAAATTTCCTATATAAAACTTGACTCTTTTGTAGTTACATTGTGTACCAAGACCGACGGAAAATGAAAAGTTGCGATTTTCTAGGCCGATATGGCTAGGAATGTAATATCATTGCGCCTGCTGCACCCATGGTACGGCAGCAAAGTTCCTTGATTATTACGCCGGAATGAGAGTATAGTTCCTAGCCATATCGGCCTAGAAAATCGCAACTTTTTATTTTCCGTCGGTCTTAGTTTCACGATGTAACTACAGAAGAGTCAAGTTTTAAATAGGAAAAATATCGAAACGCTTTGGTCATTTTTGAGCGAGATGCTAACGGTCTAATCAGATTCAGTGATCTATGCTAAGCTAAGCTAAAAGTGCTACCGCCAGACCCAGAGATCGGCTGAATGGATTCGAAAACGGTAAAACTCAGCTGTTTACCTCTAGGGGAGCTGGAAAAGCCTATTTTCAAAAAAAGTGGCGTGTTCTTTTAATTTAAAAATGTACTGACCCCAAACTTTTGAATTTGACTATGTATATGTAATTTATATTTTCTTCCCTCACAAAACTACACTGAAAAAAAAACAAGTAAAATTTACTGAATTTTTCTTTTGCAAGTTTTTGCACATATTTTGTAAGTACAATTTAAGTATGGAATTAAGTAAAATTAGCCAAGTCAATTTAATGTGGCCAGTTAGAGTTTGATGAGTAATTTCTACTTAATTATAAGTTTTCTCTGCAATACTCAAGTACATTTCACTCAGTCACGTTTTGTAAACTTGCACTGAAAAAAACATGCTATCAAAGCATGTGGTTTACTTACAAACATGTAAATAATTAGACAGCTTGTTATCCTTTTTAAGATATGTCTGCTCAATATAGTTAATAACCAAATGAACACAGAGGCCTCAATGTTTGGTTCCCAATACACAATGACGCTAACAATCAATGGATAGTGTTTGAGTATGAATGGTTCATTTTGAGTAGAAAATTAACTCCAGATGTCCCAAAACACCAAGTTACTAAACATAACAAAAGCAACCATAAAACAGTGTAAATAGAACTCGAAAACAGTGAAAATGTTAACCTTATTAATTATCATGCCCCAATGCATGATGGGAACAACAAACTTTAAACTTAAATTTCTACAAACTTAAATTAATAAGATACTTCATAAAATACTTTAATAAAAGATACTCTGTCTACTTATCAGGAAAGCTTTTAATTTTTAAGTATACTGCATATTAAATACATATTTATTTATTTAAAAAAATTTATCTCGTCAATACATTCACAATACTTTTATTTCAACAATTTACTTTCAGTAAAATGACAATAGAGAAACCAGTCCATTTAATTTTGGAAACAATTTTTACAGAGGTTTTTTTTTTGTATAGATGAAAATTTCTGGAAGGGGGTCCCAAGGGGATCAAAATATTTGGGAGTCCTTGTCATCGAACTGTTTGAAAGCCCCTGGTCTTGTTAATAGTTGAATCATGAAATCCAGCAACCATTAGCACCCACAGCAGCGTAGGGTCTGAGGAAACGATCCAAACCAAGCGCCAGCTAGGGATCAAAGAGGAATAATAGAATCATAATACTTGTGCAAACCACATTATCCAGGTACATATGTAGTTTTAATCACACCACCACACTGAATGCACATACATTGAACATGACCTTTCATCTATTAAGAGAAGTAGAACGTCTTCACCCTTTGCTATTATCTCCATGACACAACATTTTTGACATCATCTAAATGTGTGCTACTGAGCATCATCGAGCTGCATGTTGCTGCTTATTTTTCTTCGTGCTCAGATGAAAGCCAAAGTGTTCTCCTGGGAGGAACTGCCTGTAAGATGACAGTCAGCAGATGATGAGTCCCCAAGTGTAGGTCATATGAAAAGCCAGCCTTATTTCTTCAGATGACAGCATCTCTGTGACAGCTTACCCAAAGCAACAATGCCCCTACCTGTCACTCCGTTTTTAATTGAGTTTAGTTTTTTGACCTGTAAATGTTTTTTACAGTGAGAACAGAAGGAAAATAAGATATATGTACTAAAAAAGAAAGCAACATATTACATAGGTTCACAATTAACAAACACTTTGTCATTGAAATCCATTCATTTCTGATATGTGCCAGACCAAATCATAGAATTACATGAGTCAGTCAGTCACAGGAAATATTAAAGTTTCTATCTATATGCTCATTTTCCAGCTTGGTTTATATGGTGTATAATTGGCTTCGGAAAATTCCAGCACAGTTGAAAGCGAGGTCAGCATTAAAACACAACTTGCATAAAAAAGGCAGTTTTTTGTCTTTATTAATACAATTTTTTTTTTATCATAACATGCAAAAAAACTTGTTAAAAAGAAAGTAAAAATAATATTGTGCTATAAAATGCATATTGGAGTCCAGCTTTTCACGAAATATTGCAGCTTAAGTTTCTTGATAATCTCTTTCCACCGAGATAAAGTAGGGACAGGGCCGTTATTATTGCAGAACTGATACATGGCATTAAACCAACGGGAGTCATGAAGCATTTCCAAAACTTTCTGGGAAAGGCAGCAGTTTGCCTCTCACTTGCCCGACTCCAGAACTGGGGGAATACAAGGAATGCTGGAAAAGACAGACCTCCAAACCGTTATAGAGATAAACCCTGTCAATCATTGACAATAGCTCTTCTCATATTGACAAGCACAACGTTCAGGTTTGCTACACAGTACACTTTTTGGTTCAAGTTATGAAAGATACATGCTACATTTATCTTGATACCCTCATGTATATTCTCGTTTGGTAACACATGCTCATTCTTTGCTCTCCAGAGCATGTGCTCTGTAACAGTAGTCTTATCACTCTCAGGCTGGGTTCTGTGAAACTATGGAGGACACGTTCAGAGAATTTAACAAGTCAATATCAGAGGTCAGTATTCCCCGCTGAAAACCTGATGGAATTTAAGATGGGGAACTGCTCTGCTCTCGTTTGCGTTTCTTAGCAGGAGGTGAGTGCACATGTTCCAGAGCTCAAGGGGCAATTTTTACTGCTGTCTCCTGATGGCACATATGGAGTACGGCCGAGGCTGAAGGGTCATGCCTAGTTTCGGAGAGAGACTTGGAATAAAGCCTTCGGGGAACTGAAGATGGAACCTCTGGAGCAATGTGGTGAAGAACAAGAACATCTCCAGCCGAGCCAACTGCTCTCCCAGACAGTGGCGCTTACCTAAAGACAAACATGTAGAAATCAGATACATCTGAACAACGAAAAGCTTTTAGATGTACTGATTTCCCAAATATTTGCTGTTTACCTATTGAGAAAGGAAGAAATGCTTCATGCCGGACAAATTTGCCATTACAGCCAAGGAACCGCTCTGGGCTGAAGATGGATGGGTTGCTCCAGTACTTCTCATCAAAGTGCACTGAGTACAAGTTGGTGATGACCATGGTGCCCTTGGGGATAGTGTAGCCACGCACCACCGCATCTTGAGACGTGGCGCGGAAGATGCCCAGTGGGACAACATTGCAAAGGCGCAGGACTTCATGCAGCACTGCCTCCACATACGGCATCCTCTGCTTGTCTTCAAGAGCAGGTGGTCTGCCATTTACTCTAGTTCATTCTGCAGTCATCTATTCTGGGAAATCATTCTAAAATAAAGTATTCTATAAGGAACCACTTACCTCCCATTTTTGTCATCTTCTGAAATAAAGGGAGGGATGGACGGTCTGCGAAAACCTCACTTTGGTGATACAGGCACTCTTTAATGGCATCATAACCATTTAGTATAACAGTCGAGATTCCTCCCAGGTCTAGACTGAAAATCTGGATAATAAAATAGCAGTATTCATCATTAATCCACTCCCCTGCCAAACATTTCTACTAATGAACGGAGTATAATTAGAAGACTACTTCCACCCTCATGGTTACAGTGAGGAAATGAATTGGGCATGCTGACTCAGCATGTCTCTGCCATATTCTGCAAAACGGAGTGCTGTGGCGCTCAGCCAAAAATGCAACGGCATATGCAATACTCCTTTGTTCTTTTCGAACACCTCAGCTACACTTCTGCGATTCACTATCACGGACCAATCAGCTGTGAGCTCGATTTGACCTCAGCACTAAAATGAGTGAATAACTGTTTTAATGAAAATATAATAAATAATTATAGCCTATTAATATTATTAATCATTTACTTTATATTAAGTGTCTTTAACTACTATATACTAACATTTAAATTATTCATTTAATAGTGCTTGCATCGTATGTTTACGATGAAAATACGAGAACATGATAAGTAGCCTACATTATTATTATTATTATTATTCGATGTTCATATTGCTACAACTACATATGAAACAAAGTATTATTTCGGTATAAATATTACAACGGTAAGAAGTAATTTAACCATCATATTGATTTGAAACACCCTAACATCTTTTCCCGAGATGTTGATTTATGACACACAGTTTAAAAATTAGTCCGATTTAAATGATAATTACAAGATATGATCATATTTCAATAAGAGTGTCACAATTAAAATCAGACAGTTTTTGAAGACCAAGGAGAGGCGGTGGTCATGGTGAACCATTTAGTAGCCTATCTCTGAAAAGCCCTGAATGTGCTCTGTACAGGGCATCCAGACTGTGGCATGTATAGTCTCAGAGAAATTCAATAAATATAATGTCCTCATACGAGGATGAGGGGTCTCAGGAGGTTAAACAATAACGAATACAGTTGAGTAGCAATAAAGGGTTGGAGCAACTCTGCAGCGCGTCAGAAATTAAAAACTCATTTCAAGTCGCAACAAGGGACGATTCCATTGTGGACAGCCTCATTCATTACAAGACAGGATGTGAGATGCGATATAAGCTGTTATACATATTATACATAGCCTACTAATTATCATGTGGTGGCTTTAAATGAACTTTTTAAACAGCAAAACCAAAACAAAAGTAACGTTAAATGCAGAAAACTTGACAAGTCTACTGGATATTATGTGATTATGTGCAAGTAAATAAAAGAAAGCGAGGACTGAGAGTGAAGTGTCATACCTGTCCGTGAATATCACTCTGCCTCTTCATGTAGACGTGAGGCTCTGTGGCCAGGGACAGAATATGCCCTATCATGGGTAAAGGTGTCGGTCCTGGGGGAAACCCTCGGGGTCTCCGCTGTTTTACGAGCTGGCGAATTACCAGCAAAATGAAGAGTGTAATGACCAAACTGCCCAAACATACGAGCGTTTGCTCCCAAGACACAGAGAACAGAGATATCAACCGTTTAATCGATACCATTTTAGATGTAAACACTGGGATAACCTGTGCTTTCTGAAAAGTTTCTAGCGCTCCGTTCTCTGTCAGACAGTGTAGCCTATTAGGAGATCATCTTGCACATGTTGCTCTATATCCCCCGCCTCTTAAAGAATAAAATGGGCTGGCGGAAAGAGCGCTTTGGATTAACTTGCATTGTGTTTGATTAAACGGTGGTCAGAACTACTGATCGCGAGAATTCAGACCTATTTCTTTTCATTAGGGCATGCGGCCACAGCTGCGTTTCCAAGCGGGCTCTTCTTTGTAACTTGCAACATGTATGTGGCCACGCCCACTCATACAAATCAAAAAAGGACTTTGCAGTGGAATTTGTTCACAAAAAATGACTCGTTCACTAATTCTTTCAGTGCCCATATCTGTGGTTACATTGTTGCTCCACTAGGTGGGGACAAGCGAGAGTGCATGTAGCCTAATGAGTGAATCATTTTCTGAACCGATTCATCAAACAACACTCGACATATATACTTTCAGTGTTGGGGAAAGTTACTTTTAAAAGTAATGCATTACAATATTGCGTTACTCCCTAAAAAAGTAACTAATTACGTTAGTTACTTTTTATGGAAAGTAATGCGTTATATTACTTTTGCGTTACTTTCGCGTTACTTTTTAAATATAAGCAGGGCTTGATTGTTTTTAATATAAGAAGTTCTCTTTATAGCAACTGTAAAACCCCTTTCACACCTAAAAGTGTGATGAATAAACCTCAGGCTGAAGCAAAAGTAAATTCACGTCTGTACAGTAGAACGCAGGAGAAGAAACACTCTTCAGCAATAAAAAAACAAAGCACAAGTGTTAGTTTCTCTAAAGTCATTTTTGCTTATTTGCTTAAAGTCAGCAGCAAAGATATTGGTTAATAAAATGGGATTAGATATATTTGTGTTATTTAACATATTTAATTATTGCAGTTTTCATATTCTGAGTTTGCATTTCACTGTTTTAATTCATTTTGATGAATACTAAATCTGTTTTTTTTTGTGAGTGGGATGAATTAATGCACATTCACATTTAGTCTAGAACTACAGTAACATCATGTTACTCCACACAACGCCTCTGTACTCCCGATTTCTCCCAATATGGGGACAGGAGAGCTGTCAGTCAATAAATGGGAAAACAAAGTAACTGGCATTACTTGTTTGAAAAAGTAACTCAGATATTTTCTTGTAAATTAAAAAAGTAATGCGTTACTTTACTAGTTACTTGAAAAAAGTAATCTGATTACGTAACTCGCATTACTTGTAATGAGTTACCCCCAACACTGTATACTTTACGTGGTTACAGATTTAGTTAAAAACTCCAGAAAAAGCATCATAAGCGGTTTCCACAGTAGAACTTACTTTCCTTACATTTTGTCAAACTGTATTTTATTTTATTGCTGTAGCAATAAACACAATATTTGCCTACAGTAAATTAAGAAGTTACACAATGTCCTTTAGTTTTGCTTAAGCATGTTATTTTTACACATTCATAATTCCGCCGAAACGTTTCTTGCCGAACTGAACAATACATGCCCCTCTCGTTCAGTCGGTAAACAGATCTTCGTTCCCCAACAAAACAGTTATTCAGTTCAAAATGTCCCACTATTTCATTCCATTCATGAACATCTCCAGTCCCGCTCCAAGTCTCATTCAGACTTTAAAAGATCGACTCGTTCATTGAAGTAGGCGTATCCGTTCAGTGCTCCAACCAATGAGATACTCCTTCACAGCAGTACTCGAATGCTATTTGCTCTTGCTACAGTCAGTCTTTGCTAATACTTTGACACTTCACACAAAACTATAAATTACACTTTTTGAATTCATAGAATCAGTCACGTGCTTCAAAAGGCAGAGATTTTAAGTGAACGAAAAATATGAGTCAGTGTATGGAAGCGAATATGAATGATTTATTTAAAAACACTAATAATTAGTTCACGAACGAAACATCGTTCCTTTGAATTGAGTTACTTAAAGGTGGGGTAAGCGATTTTTCAAAAATGCTTTAGAAAACTGATTTGGGCCAAATAGCAAAACAAACTTGTAGCCGATCAGCAGTAAGGGGTGTGTCTACTCATGATGTGGAGGAGAGAGAGTTCAGTGCACATTAGCCGAGCCGAGTGACAGAAAGATAGAGATGGTGGATAATAAACAAAAGAGGAAACCGTCTGCTGAACAAACGAAGGCTTAAGGCAAGAAGTAGGACCCGTGTAAATAT